GGGGAACAGAGGAAAGATGGTTAAAGAGAAAAGCAAAAAGTAGAGCCTGGTTGTAGCTTTATGAGATTATAGCAGTGTTCTAAAATGATGTAGCAATATTCTCAGCATTTACATTTCGGCAACAAATGTGAGCATATACACTGAGTAAGTCATAATTCTGACTCAGAGGCTGAGTGCCATCTGGACTGAAATGCTTGCACTCCATTTTCTGTGCACACACATGCTTAGACAAAGCTGCACTAACTGGCCTTAATTCTCATCAGTTACTTTCTAAAATAGAAGTTTTCACATGTAGTTTTTAAGCAAAATAATAACTAGTGTAAACGAAGGCCACATAATTACCTTGATTCCAGCTGATGTTAGTGAGCCCCTTAGTAAGGGCATTGTTATGTGTGTCAGTTCCCATATGTTTTGTGGTGTTAAATGTCAGTCTGTAATATTTATTTTTAAACTCAACTTTGTATATCTCATTTCATTTGGCTTCCAGAAAGTAATAATATTCATCTTTGTGAATGTCATCACTTATCTTAATAAGTAATCCATTTTCTTCTTCATTTCCCTTCATAGGCTGTGCATGCCATTTTCCTACTTTTCCATCTCTTTGGCCAGTCTCTTGATATGATATCTAATTGACTTATTGGGGAAAAAAACGGTTTCTGAATTTTTTATTTATATTAATTTGCTGCTAATGAGTATGTTAGATGATTCTTGGCTTTGAATGTTGTTTTTTTACCCATTAGCTGGATAAATCTAACGTTTGCGTTAGTGGGATTTTGTGAAGTGTCTTCAGCGTACCTAACTTGAACATACATAATTTAACATAAAGTAGCAGTTCTTTCTCATGGCAGCTGATGGTCGTGTTCACTCATTAGGATTTTGGTGATTGTTTTAGGGCTGATTTTATAAGTACCTGCTGACCTCCTTGTAATGGTGTGGCAGAATTCCTTAGCAGATCAGGCTGCTGGTTTTAGCTATAACATCAAAGTTAGCAATCTTGTGGGTGCTCTGATTGCTTGGCTTTTTGCGGAGTTCATTCGGTGACTTGGGAATTAAAATCAGGATTTTGCAAGAAATCTTTGAGTGTAACCTAAAAATTGCAGCAAAACGCAATTAAATCAACTCGGTAGGTGTTTACGGAGTGAAGGCAGAAGAATGTATTTGAGAAGCTGTGAAATGAGGGAGAATATTCTGTTAGTTCACCTCTCCGGCATTGGCAAGGAAACTGAATCAGAAGGTCCTGCCAGCATGCAGAGTGAGTTTATATTATACTTACAAAATAAAAATGATCAGAAACCTGTGCAAGAGAGGGAAAGCCCATTAGCACACTCAAAGCCATATGAGAAAAAGAAGCAGTGGTTGTTCTAATAGAAACCATAGGGAAAAAGTAGAAAATAGAGCGTGTATGGACGTTGTCCTACAGAACACTGGAAGGTGAGAGCAAGCAGTACGAATGTGATTCAGAAGGCAATAGGGCTCCCTTTGAAGTTAGGAAAATTTGCCAGACTTTGTACAAGGTCTGTTTAAATAAAGACTGTCTGCAAGACTGGATGTAATATTTGGTTATTAAATAAAAGGGCATCTGCTCTCATAAAAGCCACCCTGTTTTGTTTTTTTTTTTCATGTGTTATTGGCTATTTTCCTACTTTGTGCAGGCTTTCTATAGAATAAGCTTATGGCAGCCTGACAAATGGAGTATTTATTGTGGCTAAAAGTACTGTAAACAAAACCAAAATAGCAAGTTTTATTGGCTTTTATAATACATTACAATTTTTTAAATTGGCAGTGGTATAGTGGAATTTAGTATTTTGGGACCCAAATGTTATCTGAAAACAGTGGACTTCATTTTCCAATTCTTTTTCTATTATGTTCTGTACTGTTGTTCTATTTGTTGCTCACGCCCATGTGTTGTAGAAACAGATTCTAATAAGAAACATTTACAGACTCAGTTACTCACTCATGTGCAGCTTCACACAAATGCATTCCTTGCATTTGTTCTCATCTGTTTAAAAAAAAAAAAAAAAGTAATAATTATTTGTCGTTGAATTTGAAGAAAATCATTGAGAGTGCTTCTCATATTGTCTTGCATGAGCAGAAGCATATGGACCTTTCATGATTCAAGATAAAATCTCCAGTGTAACAAAAAAACCCCACCTCCTTTACGTGTCTGTAACTATTAAATATATGTGTTTTATACAAAGACCTGACCCAGCAATCATTCTTCAAATAGAAATTCCACTGAAGTCCAGAGGAATTTTGCTCAAGAGTTTGTGATTAAATTCTGTTGGGATCAGAAGTAGCAGAGAACGTGGTACCACCACATATGGGGTCTGGTCTCTTACACGTCTCCCCTGTCTTATTAAAGTGAGGAGAGTTACTTTGTTTTCCCAGCTCTACTTACCTTGGTGTGAAGTCCTTCAGAGTCTGCTTGGAAAATAGATGTACAAACCGCAGAAGGCAGTGTAGTGGTTGTGTATGGAAGTTCTACAGACCTGGTAAATATCAAAATAGCATGTGTGGATACGTCATTTACAAGGAAGTTTTAATAGTAACAGGGTTGTTAATTCATGATTAGAATGCGAATAATTGGGTTAAATTTAGTTTTAAATGAAAAGGCTTTCTTCAACGTAGCAAAATCTTAAGAAGCTGTTGATGTTGTTCTAAATCAAGTTAACCAGTGTCAAACATCAGTTTGAAGTTTCAGTAATTCCTAACTAGAAACATGAAAATTCATGAACCTTATCAGAGATACAGTATGAATGTTTAAAAGATATGAGAGGAGGGAAAGGGAATATGTTTCCTTACATTGCAGGGTGAGCTAATAAATTGGAATGTCAAAAAATGAACTCCTCTCTGCCTGTTAAGCCTTCTAAAACACCCATAAGCCTTATATATATTTATATTGAGGGACTGTGTAAGCCATCCTGCACAGCACTTGCTCAGTATTTTTTGGTGTTGGTTTTTTTTTGTTTGTTTGTTTATTTTCACACAGACCAGACCTTTGGAAAGTTATAAGCAAGGGCTTGCTTGTTGTGCTTGTGGGTTTTTTTTATTTCATTGCTATTAGTTTTTTTTAAGAGCATATTTTCTTTTAAAGAAAGTCTAAGTTGTCTTTCCATTTTTTCTTTTTATTTTTTTTTTGTTATATTGTAAAAAAGGGTTTACTCTTGATTCTGTTGTTATGTTTCCTTTAAAGACTCTGTAGATGAATTAAGGAGTTTCTGGAATCAGTTACCGAGAAGTGAAATCTTAGTAAGTAAAATGAAAAATGATTCCATCTTCTTCAGACACTTAACATTCAGCTTTTGCATTTCACATAAAACACATAAATGAAGTTATCTCAGAAGGAAAACTATCTTCCTAAAAGTTGAATTGTCCTTCATTGATGTCCTACCTTTTTGAACTTCTTGATCTCTTGGTCTGGTGTCAGTGTCAGGACAGAGACTTTCTGATATTTCTTAATTACTCTGCTTTAGAGTGGCATATAAAACTTGTTGGATATCACACCGTTACTTAACAAAGTCACAATACTCTTTATCCTTTCATTATTTCTTTGGAAGGTCACCTTTGTCAACTCAAAAAAAACAGTATATCTCCCTGAAAACTTGATTTCTTCTGTCACCTTTAAATATATTTATGAAATCTGAAAGGAAATTGAGGGCTATTTTTCTCCTTCCCTGACCTTGTTTTGTGTATTTGACAGTATTGAATAATGTATGTATAACTGCATAATCAATTTTGCATCTGTGTTGATAGGCAATTTCATTTCTTAGTCTTCAGTTCAAAAGTTACTTCATCATGATAATGTACTGTTGTGTTGATGTGCATGCATGCATTTCTACTGACGGTGTGTTCCCAGAAGGAGTGGTAAAGCAGTAACAGGAGGGTGTTGCTACTTGATATTTAGCTGAGCCTTTTTACTCATCTAACCTAGGTAACCAGAGAGCTAGAAATATGAGTTAGAGCCTGTTAGATAGTTTCAAAATTAATAATTTCATAAAATTTACAAGAGATTTTTCCAGGGCTTCTAATTCAGCATCACCTCGAGGCAGGTGGAGGAACTTGTCCTTTGGATGACTTGTCTTCCCCTTCCCAAACCTTTTCAGGAAGGTTGAGAAGTAGTTTTATTTCTTTTCCTTAATGATGCCAACCAAAGAAATAATTTAATATTTTTCATGTGTGAGAAGAAAGAACAGCAATGAGCACATAGGCAGACGTGTTTAGAGCACTTCTGTGGAACTGGAAAATTGGAAATGTGCCCTTGTGCCCCTTTTGAAATAGGAAGAAACTACTCATGATGAGTGGGAGAAGGTCAGTCATTCACTTAGGTAAGGCTGTGGAGGGGGAACTGAGTCTTAATTCTACTGGTGCATCCAATAGACAGAGGAACAAGGTGGACAAGTAGTCATATGTCTGGTTAATGATAATGTTGAAAGTAAGAACCACATGTATTTTTGAAACAAGTGACCTCTTCAACTGGAGGTTTGGATCGTGTTTCCAAAGCCTGTGGAGACGCTGCTGAAGTTAATCCTACTGGTTACCTGCAATAAAGGGCAGTGTTGGATACACTGATGCTGTTCTGCCACTGGTGTTTGTGACAGGGGTTGCAGCTGCAAACCAAAATGACTGTAAAGTGTAAATCATTCCAAGGTCTTGGATATTTCCTTATTTGTTTCTGTAATAAATATTAGGTACAAATTCTTCTTTGTAAGCAGATGTGATCCCGTTAGCTTCAGTGAAGTTTAGTAAGTTTCCACTGAGTTGACTTGGATTCTTGAAGTGAACAGAGCAGAGAGCTTTGTGCTTCCTAGTTACTGCATGTATCCTCTTTCAAAACCAAGTATGGACCAAAAAGTTTTTCAATATGGAAATATTTTGATATTTTTAGTATGGAATTTGACTTTCGTATTTTTAATTATATAGCCAGATGTTAATCAACTAACTAGATTTTAATTGCTAGCTTCCAGAGGACTCAACTTAACTTGCTCTTTTTCTCATTTAAGGTGGTTTCAACTAGAGTCCAGACAAGGGAAAAGAACCAAAGACAGAGGAGAAATAAAGGTCAATATTCAGTTTATGAGGAATAACATGACAGCAAGTATGTTCGATTTGTCAATGAAGGACAAAACCAAATCCCCTTTTGCTAAACTAAAAGACAAAATGAAGGGTCGAAAAAATGATGGGACATTTTCAGATACATCATCTGCAATCATTCCAAGTACTCACATACCTGATGCAAACGTAGAGCTATGTAGTGGTGAAGTACAAATGAAATCAAAACCAAAAAAACCTTTCCTTTTGGGACCTCAGAGGCTATCTTCAGCTCATTCGATGTCAGATTTAACAGGATCACATGTCTCCTCAGAAAAATTAAAATCCAGCACAGTTGGCTACTCTCATCTTTTCAAGCGTCAGCTGGAATCTTTTGGTTCAGTTGATGAAGGAGGTAAGTAAAATTCACACTACTCAATCATGACCATTACAATTATAATTCCTTGCTTCTAGAGCATGCAAAAGCCTGTTTCTTTAGTTTATGAAGCAATTATGAGGCCAAAAAATAATGAATTATTGCTGGCCTATTTTTTCTCTTCCATTAGTTGGAAGTAACCTATAAATGCCTTTAAGAGCGTAAGGAATAACTTACATTGGTCATAATGTATTATAATTTTTAATTTTTCTGATGTCCTCATTTTGAGAGTATCTTGTAATGAAACACTGCATTCATGAGAGAACTCTAGGCAAAGTAATATGGTGTGAAGAATAAGTCTTTTTGGTGATAATTTTTAACTTTTTACAAGTTTTAAACCTGATTTATACAAATAAGTGAAAGTACTTTGCATCACTCAAAGTTATTACACAATAGATTATTGTCACTTTCTGGCTACAGCTGTATTCCTTATAGAACCTAGTTCTCATACAGAAAATTAAAAAATGCTGTAGTTTCTTCCTTAAACATTTCAATACCGCAAAGACAATGCCAGAGCTGTTGATATTTTAAAAATAGTTTCGTTATTCAAGGGCGTTTCAGTCTGAAACTCAGTTTCAAGCCTTCTATACTGAAGCTAAAACGGTTTATCTGTGTGTTATAAACTGTGCTGTAGTATCTCATTGATAATGTACTAATGCCAGATTGTTTGCAGGGAGTCTGAAATCTCCGCATAGGAGGACATTAAGTGTTGATACTTCTAAAATGAACCAACTGGACAGCACAGCTGATGAAACTGCACCGGAAGCACAAAATGACCCATTTACCAATGTGAGTGCTTCACTACCCCAAAAATTTGCTACACTGCCAAGACAGAAGAATCCATTTGAAGAAAGCCCAGCAACGTGGGATCAAAACATAAATCTGTTTTCCAAACCTGTTGAAATCAAAAAAGAAATTAGAAAAGAGAAAAAAGAGAAGGTTAGTCTTTTTGAAAGAGTGACTGGCAAAAAAGATAGCAGGAGGTCAGATAAACTTAGCAATGGGGGATCAGAGAGCTCCACTGACTTGAAATCACCAAGTGCGTTTGGTGAAACTCATCAGGAGAGTTTTGATTATGAGTCGACTAATCCGTTCATGACAAACTTCAAGCCTACAAGCATGTTGCCATCTTCAAGGTAGGTTTTGGCTGTATTTTGCTCTGCTATCTTGAACATGCTATATAAATGAAAATGTGAAGTGTTGAGGGATGCAGTCTTCGTGCTTCATATTTATTTTTATCATTGCTGATCCGTTACTAAGTAACATTTATGAACCTTTAATGTAATTTAACCTTTTCATTCTACATTTTATTTAGAAGTTACATTTATATTAGTAAATGTACTGTGACTCTTCTTGGGTTTGCATATGCGGAAAACCTTGCTCATTGCTAGCTATTGCACTACCTTCAGTCTAAGGCAAGGTTTTAAAGGGAAAAGTTTTAATTGTAAGGGTAAGATGGAACAGAATAAATAAAAGACTTGAGTAATGAACACAAATGCTTTGGAAAAAATGGGTTTAGATTCTCTATGTTAAACCACAAGAACAAGAGACCATCTAAATTTCGAAATGAGAGCATCTGCCTGGGCCTTTATCATGCCTGGAATCATTTGGCTCACTGTAGTTTTCCTGAGTTCATGTGTATTCAAGGCCTTACACCAGGCAGCACTTTATATGCTAAACAAAATGACTTGAGTTACAGGGGTTGATAAGAAACTTTTGATTTAAATAATCTATTTTAATCTTTGTTTGCTTATCAACAGTTTACTTGTTTTCCTTAAATTAAAAAAAAAATATATATACAACATTTCACTTCACTTTTGGCTTTTGTTTACTATATAGACTATATACACAGATGTATATGCACAAACTACATATTCTATAGCCAGTGTTTGTGATTAATCAGGTAATTATTTTTATTCATTTACATTCCGAAATTTTTTTGTACATTAATGTCAGAAATTAATTAACAGATCAGTCTTATTGTATCCCAACTTTGAATTCATAGGTTACAATATATGCACTTCTCTTTTAAACTTCAAATCATTTTCTTAACAAAACTAACTGTTGTGAATTAGATAAACTGAAATGGGCCAACTGTAGAAAAGATTAGCTGTCTACAAGCTCATACAGACTTCAGTGACTCATCTTCTTAGTGCCTCCTACAAGTCAAGCCAGTTCTACTGTCTTAAATAACGTATTTACAGCCAGAGTCTTAGAATATTATTTATTTAATAAAGGATTTCTCTAGATTAAAGCGAGGTTAGGATGTAGCTTGGTTTGTCAGAAGTTAAACTTTCATTTAAATAATCTCCTTTAAGCAGAACTAATTTAAATAACAATTAAAATTACATAGCATTTAATATTTTTTTAAATGAAAAAATGTGTTCGGGCAGATGCTAGATATCAGTAGTGAAATCTTTTGAAGTTCTTGAATGCGGCAGATCTTGATAAATATAAATCTTAAACAATAATCACGATGGACTTGTCTTTTCTTTGTTTTGTAATTAAAAAGCTCATCACAGTGCCCATTCAGAAGGGCTCTGGTCTTTCGTTCCCTCTTTTTGTGTGAGTCTCTTTTTCTAGTTCTTGACTTTTATGTAAACATGGCTACTTGTCTTATCAAAAGTTTTTGTTATTTCCAAAAAATAGAAAATATTGTGACTATTTTTATAAGTCAGCTACTCTGGAATAGTATGTATCATGCAGTAATTTATGTTACAAGCTTTTGTATCCTCCACTATTATGGTCTGTGAGCATCTTTTAAAAAAAAGTTCACTTTCTTTCATATGTATCTTGAACAATGATTTTCTTTTGAAGTAGAAACTTAATTCAAAATGTGCATATTTAATAAGTTTACAGTTTAAGTTTACCTTTTATCTGCAGAGGATTTGTTGAATAGAATCCATTTTTAATTTTTAGAATTAGTAATACTGTGAGGAAAGAGTTGTATAAATCTGTGAGCACAAAATAAATGAGGGTGAGTAACAAATCCAGCATGCAGGAAGCACACATGGGGAATTTGGATTTTGTGTTGCTGTTTATTTACTCAGCATGCTGTTAAGCTTTTTGATGGATACCATCTTGCAAGTAAAACAGGCGGCACGTTTTAGTAAGGTGTGTCCAAAATCAGTGTTCTGGGGTGGATGAGGTGTTTGTTTTGCAGTTCATCTCCCATTTGTCCCTGTGTGGCTGTGCCCTACTTTGAATGATGGAACGGTCATGGATTCCTGTCTGATGGAACTGAACAGGAAGATGTGTGGTTAGGCCATGGGACCAGGCTGGGGCTAGTAGTACAATCTGGAGGAAGAAAACAAGAAAATTCCACGCACTCCTAACACACCTCCTCATCCCAAAACCCACAAACCACTAAACCAACCAGTCCAGGCTAGTAATATGTATAAATAGATTAATTAAAAGCCTTTTAATATATATTTACACCTCAGGTCAGCCACAGGAGACTTTTTTTTTTTTTTTTTTCCTCTGTCACCTAGTTAACAAGATCTCACAGGGTTTATCCAATTTCATGAGTGTAATGCAGTCATTATGAACAGTCACTGTATGTTTACCTTAAATTGAAGGAGGTCTCAGTTTGGAGACACCTCTATACCTCTTTTCTTTCTCTTTTGCTCTCATTTAGCTTCAGTGTTCAGAGTTCAGTTTCTTCTCTCCCGGATCCTTTTGTCCTTTCTTTGCATTCTTGCCTCCCTGCATAGCTGAAACCTATATAATCTATGTACTGACCTTACCTGTCTTTGTAATAATAAACATTTCAGCAGTCATCTATTTTAATCATCATGTTTATAGTCAGCATCATCATTAGAGGCTCCTACTGCTACTTATATCATATCTAGATTTGTTTTCTTTTTTAATTATTATTTTTATCAATGACAGTTTGGTTAACTGCTTTAGGACATGTGACGTTTGACTTTGCCTGGCTAATAATCTCTTTAGAGCAAGGTGACGAATTTTAGGCTAGGAATCAGTGTAAGTACAAAAGACTACCAGCAGAACTCGTGGTTATGCATTTTTGTTTAAATGTTTTTGTTGCTGTGTTAGCATTGTTCTAGATTTGCCATCAAGGCACACATCACTTTTGTCAATAGCAGAAGTTATGAATCTGGACAGCATTAAGACAGCAGAGATGTAGACATGCATTCCTTTCTGCAAAATGGCTGTGGCAGAAGGACAGATTGGACATCTAGTGGGCAGCAGCATCTCTAATCACTGTAATTAGATTTGCTAGGAGTCAAATCTCCCAGCTTTCTGGTGGGAGATTATTCTTCCAGTGCTCAAATGTAGAATAAAGCAGAGTGTCAAATAGTTGTAAACAGGTAAAAGGATGACGTTGTGTTTTAATGTGTGGGTGAGAAAACCCAGTTCTTTCCAAGATGGGAAGAAAAATATATAGTTTCTTCTGTTGCTAGCTGCATGGCCATGGATGTCTTGATCGTGATAGCTCTGTACAGTGAATAACATTGTAAAGCAGCTTTTCAGCAAGTTTGTTGGGCTTTAGGTCTTGCCTCAAGTCAGTCTGAACTGATTTAGTTGGATAATCTTGACCAAGCAACAGTTTTGTGCAGAGCTGCAGCTCATAACATCACTGACTGCAGGCTGGGGGAGCTCCTCAGCAGAGCTTAACATTATCTTTAAACACATTCACTAACAATTAGTTTTGTTGTCTTGGCTTTCAAGTGGATAATTTGCAGTCATTAGCCACGTGGATTTTGTATTGAACACAGTTACAGAAATTGACAGTAATCCTTGCAAACAAAGATTTTTTTTATTTGCAGTGACCAAACCTTATGCATCATTTCTCAGAAATTGTTTATGTTTAGGAAAATACACTATGGTAGGCTAATAAACTGATGTGAAAATTTCTCAATTTACACCACTTGACAAGTGCTAAGAGAAAAGCATCTTTAATTTTAATGTGTTATTAGGACCTTTTTAGAGAGATTGGACAAGTTATTAACAAGGTCCACTGAGACAGGAGACGGGTAATTAACAAGACCTACAGAAAGGGAGTTTAGGTAATTAACAAGATCTTAGGCACTGGACACAGGGAAACAAATAGTCCAATATTTAAAGCTGACAGGTTGTTACTAGTCTGATCAAATTCCAGATCTGGGAATCTGGATTGATAGGTGTGAGCTCTCTACAAAACAATATATGTAGTGTGTGTATGTGTATCTTATGTATATGTGTGTGTGTCTGTATGGCATGTTTTCTATGTATAGAACATGAGTGTGTGTGTATATATTGATATATGTATACATATGGAGAGAGATACATTAAATAAAAATAACTTACAAAATAGCATTTCCATCATATAAAGGAAATAAAATAAAGCTTGTGCTGCCTACCGAATGCTGGTTTCACTTTTTCTCAAGTTCATGTGTTATATCCTTACTAAGAAGTATGGGAGATGGAATAGTGGAGGGAAAACAAGCATATCTTACTGGATTCACTGTAGCCAATGTGAATAATGCTCATATAAACATCAACTATTGGCTAACTGAGCCTAAGGAAAGGCTGACGTTAACTTTCAGGAATTATTCACGTGTAGTTGTTCTCTAACAAGTTCATTGCCCTCCTCGCTAGAGCAGTGAAGTCTGTTCTGACACTTGGGCATATATTTCTCTGTTAGTCAAAAAATGACATCAGGTGAGCTGTGCTCTTTTCAGAATTTTCTTTTATCTTGAAATAAAAGGATTTTTTTCCGTTCACCAACTAGAATTTGACTTCCCGTGTTTCTAGTCATATGTGACCATTGCTAGATAAAATTTTGATGGAGTATGGCAGTTTATTAATTATTCTGTAGACTATTAGTATTTATTAATTCATTAAAGCAAATATAATACTGCTATGTGAGAGGAAACAGGAATCTACAAAACAAAGAGAAGTCGTTTAAAGATTCTTGGTCCCTGCTGCTAAGACTGTTAGCATCTGATTTAGGAAGATCTCTACTCCATGTGGTGAGAAAATAAAGAAGTCTTTTCTAAAGCTGCTACAAATCAAGGATCATGTTATTTGTTACATTACGAGGACGGGTTGGAGCAGTTGATTCCTGGAGAGAGATCACAGAAGTACTCAGTATTTCTACAATTAGTAATATTAGTGCTTAGTGTTACTTTAC